TCGTTTCAACGGATTTTTCGTTTCAACGGATTTAGGTGGTCAGTCCCATAGATCCGTTGAAACGAGGTTTGACTGTAATTATCAATATTTTTATTGGTAAAAATTTATATTCTTATAATAAGTATTTTTTTAGAAAATTTCACGAAAAATAAAAAGAAAACTTTGTTCCTTATGGAAATTGTTTAGAAAAAAATGACACTATTAAAACTTTGTACCATTTTTATACTCTGAACTTGAAGTTTAATTAAAGTTAATGTAAAGATATAATTAGTAAATTCTTCACTTAACAATATACCTAATATGTATTAAAATTTTTCGGAATGTAAAAATTTTATTCTTGATATTTTGTTTTTCATAATAAAATTTTAAAACAGTTTCTACTATTATTACAACACAATGGAACATCATATAATGTACACCAAATATTAGAGAAAGAAGGTCTTTTATCTTTACCTATTAATAAATACCTACACAATACACATGAGTTTCTTTTATCAACTTCTCCATTCTACAAAATGGTTGCCAATCATCAATCTTTCAGCAGGAAGTTGATATTTAGGTGTTATGTATATTGTTTTTTTGTCTGGAAAGGAGGAAGAGGAAGTAGGAATATTTATGCACTAATGGTGTAAATTCCGGTGGAGATGGGGGAATATTAGACTCATTATCATCATTTTGGACTTTTTTTTCTTGTATTACTTCTACTATTTGTAGATTCTTCAATATTTTCTTCACTTATATCATCACTGATTTCAATAATATTAGTTGAAACAAAGGTGTCAGTATTCTCATTAACATTAGTTACTTCAGAATTCTCAAATTCTTCATGTTCATACTGTTTCAAAAAATTTTGAATTCATCCTCGTCCACTTCATCCACAAAACTTTCATATTCGTAAATATTAATATTGGAAGGGTCCATTTTTTTAATTAAAGTTTAAATTTTATTGCAGCGTTAAAAAAAAAATTTAATACAAAATGATCGGCAAGTTTTTTTTTTGTTCCTTTACTTTGCACAATCATTTATCACTAAGAACGATATGTAAATTTTGTTTTTCTTTACTGGGTTAATGGTACAATCGCAAGAATCATTTTTAATTAGGAAATTATGTGTAAAACTGCATGATAAAAATCTTAGTGCCTTACAACAAATTTGCAGCATATATGCTGCAAAAACAGTTTAAGGGATACCAAAAACAACAACTATCGCACCGATTTATTTTTCTTTGTGCTATATAACAAATAAAACTAATTTTTGTCTTTACAAAAAAGAAAGTTACCGATGACTTTTACCACTTGAGCTTTTGATTGAAGTATTTAAATATAATGATGATGATTATAAAACATTATATTCTTGCATTCTTGTCAATAAACAATGGCACAATGTTAGTATTCCAATTTTATGGAAATGCCCTTTTTATTCTAAAAACAGCACCAAAATAATAATTAACTGTTTATTGGAAGAAGATAAGGATTTCTTAACAAGAAATAGCATTGAATTAACTTTTGAGCTATTGGGTAAATCGCCATTATATAATTATTTTGTACTAGATTTTATTTCAATCATCAATTGCCGGCAAACATTTCCAAATTAGATACTTTATTAATTTATATTTGTTATCGGGAATAATAGATCATTTTATTGTGTGACAAATAAAAAATCAAAAATCTTTTTTTACAATGACTTTACTACTTGAACTTTTAACTGAAGTATTTAAATACAATGATGATGATTATAAAACATTATATTCTTGCGTTCTTGTCAATAAAAAATGGCACGATGTTGGAATTCCAATTTTATGGAAAAGTCCTTTTTGTTTTAAAAAAAGCATTGAAGTAATAATTAATTGTTTATTAGAAGAAGATAAGGATTTCTTAACAAGAAATAGCATTGAATTAACTTTCGAGCTATTGGATAAATCACCATTATATAATTATGCTAGATTTTGTACTAGACTTTGTTCCAGTCATTATTATTGTAATCCTCAATGGCTGACAAACACTTCCAAATTAGATATTTTACAAAATAGATTAGTAAATTTTATTTTAGATCATTCAGCAGTTATTAGGGAGTTTAATACTTCCAATATGGTTTCTTACACAGTAATTAATTATCATGGATTTGATAATAGTTTTCAGAATCTTAATAAGTTAGTTTGTAATCGTAATATTAGTTATGAACTTATTGATAAATTAGCAAATATTTGCAAATGTATTCAATCATTAGAAATGTATGGTAGATACAATGATGAACTTCAAGATAGTCTGGCTCAATTGATTAAAGCACAAAATCAAATAAAGCAATTGACTATTTGTTTAGACATTAATCAACCTTTATCAGATAATTTCAAAAAAGCAATTTTCACACATTCACAATCAATAATTTATTACTCAACTAATAGATTCAACAATATAGATCATATACTATTACCAACATTTAACAATTTAAGGACTTTATCATTATGTTATGAAAAAACAAGATGGTTGAAAAATATTTCACTGCCAAATATTGAATCTGTGAGCTTACATTTTGGTGGGCAACAATTTATATCAGACTTGCCTAATTTTATTAGCATCAATGGAAAAACTCTTAAATATTTGGATGTTGGTGGTCTTACAAATGACAATGAATTTTTGGGAAAGCTATTTCAATCAATTGCACAATATTGTAAAAATCTAATAAACTTATCAATAATTTATAATGGTAAAGTAAACCAGGAGTTAACAGAAGTATTCAACAATTGTATTAAATTAGAAAGTATTATACTTGAAAGTGATTACACACGTACATTAGGTGGTGATGAAATATTTTCAATACTAAATCAAACATTACCAAAAAAATTAAAATCAATAATGCTTCCTTGTAAGTTTTCTACTATTAATGTCAATTCTTTTGATAATCTAATAAAGAATTGGAGAGGACTTAAACCTTTTACAATAGGGTTCAGTGATTGTCAAAAATTAGTGGATTGATCAGGATTTAGGATTTTTATACTAAAAACTATATATATTTATTATTTTTATTTGATTTTAATTGGTTGAGAAATAATAAATCATTCTATTGTGCAACAAATAAAAATAAAATTTTTTTTCTTACGTTTATGCTTATAAACTTTATTTTATTTATTTATATTAAATTTGTTATAACGATTTTTTATAATATTATTACAACAAAAATTACAAATGTTTTTCTTATATTTTATATAATATTAAAACTTCTTTGCATGCAATGTTCCGTGTATAAATCCCATCTTTGCCTTGTATTGTCCCATCTTCACAAATACCTTGAGATTACGTACTCATGTACAACTCTCCATGAGTGAAGTATCTGCGTTTTTTGCCAATATTAGCTTCTCTTTGTTCTTTTTCAATGTCATTATAATTTGTAAGTGACATTATATGAAGCAGAATGTGGAAGCAAAAGATTTATATTTAGAATAGCGTTTGTATTCATTCAGAATTATTTGGACATTATCCAAATATTATTCATGTGACTGATATTCGAATATCATGAATATCATAGTTAATCTTACTAAAAAAGGAAAATATATAATAATAAATGGAAAACGTTTTTTTAATATTAACATTATGTTGTATGCATGTGTGTTCAAAAAAATTTGTTTATTTTACATTTAAAGAAAACTAAGGAAATTGTTTATAGTGGCAATCATCTAAAGACATCATCAAATGTTGCCAATCTTTAAGTGCTGATGCTTTATTAATATGGACTATTTTACCAAAAACTCTCTATTTTTGCAATATTCTAGACATGAAAAATAATGTAATAGAAAGTTTTT